GCTGGAGATGCCATTTCACAACCCCTCACCTGCAGCTTCCATAAAAGTCTTGTTTAACCGGAAAGTGAGAAGGGGTTCTTTCAGGCTGCGTAGAAAGTCCTTGAGAAGGCCACAGATAGCATGGATATCATCCACTTTACTGAGCAAAGGAATGTTTTTTGCTCTAAGAAACTTCTCTTTCAGCTCCCTCACTGTCTTGTCACAGCCAGATATCCGGTAAAGGCCCGTCTGTTAACAGAAAGCGTTGCTTAGAGGCAGAATATCGACTGCACGTACAAAGCTGTCATTCTTCTGCTCCCACTCTCTCTCCACACCTGAGCACTCCACACACCCTGTTGCTCACTCAGTCACCCACTGAGCAGCACTACACACCGTAAATAAGAGATATTTGGGTTAATTTGTTTCCCTAACACCGCAACCCATTTCATTAGCGCTGTTTCACACCTCATTTTCATTTTTACCTCACGCAGCCCTCGCTGCTCGATCTCATTAACACAGTGCACTACGATGGAGGGGATCATTGGAGGTGTAGAAGGGACAAAGTCCATCAACGTCCCCTAAGAAGCAGAAGGGAAAATAAAGAGACACTCAGTCTTCAAGACATGGAAAATAATCTCTCAGGAATTCACAGTGAGATCTAGGCTTAAAAAAAATTTTAAAAAAATCAAACATTAATTCTTCTTCATCAGAGAAGAGCAACACTACACCCATCCATCAGCACAACGCTGCAGGATTGCCTACCCAGAGCTGCCGCATTCACAACTCAACACCCTCCCAACACCGCATCCCCACCGCCCACCACCCCGCTCATCGGAGGATACATTAGCAAGCTCATTTGCCTCATTTGCGTCTTATTATGCAGCTCTGAGCAACAGGAGCTCTTCTGTCAGAGGCAGACTTGTTGGAGCCTAAGCACGTTGCAGCTCTAACCAACTGTTAGCCCACCGGTGTCGGCAGCTGTACGGCCCCCAGCTCACCCCACACCCACCTCTCCGATCCGGACAGGAGTGCCTGTCAAGGTGGGGATGCAGGGAAGAGGACAGCGGTCCCGGCACTCTGGATGAGCGACCACACGGCAGTCTCTGCACTTCAGAGAGATTTTTCCAAATTTTACTCTTTTTCCACACGGAACACACGATTCTGGCTTGATAACCTAACGATTCCAAGCATACAGAGGGGAAGAGATCAGCACAATGTAGTAACTCAGCGGGACTCAACCCAGGTAACTCTAGAGGGTAACACATTCCCTGACCCCTGCAGGTAACCACCACAGTTAGTATTGACTTGAGGCACCATTGCTGGTGGCCCCTTATCAATAGCTTCAAACTGCAGACGTTTAAAAACAGAAGGAGATGCTTTTTCAAGTTCTTCCTGCCCGTAGACCTACCGTCTTCGAAACAAAGTCGTGCAGCCTCACTCCCCCGTTGCTCTGCGGGGTGCCAATGCCATCGGTCTCCAATTTGGACTCCACCTGCTTACTGCCAATGCTCGACTCGCTGCTCCAAGGCTGCAAAGGACCTGAAAGACAGAAGAAGAAGAGCGTTGACTGAATGGAGTCACCCTCCACCCCGCTCCACCTTTGCTTTAAAGCCAAGTGCATCATAGACCAGAGGCAGCTGCCTAGGCCCTGGCAGGAGGTAACTAACACCTCAGGGTAGCCTCGGGCCTGCTAAGCAGTCGCTTCAGGGCTAGGACAGACACGACACCTTCTTCCTCCGGCTTCGCAGACTGTAAGGCACAGTCTGGATAGTAGAAATAGCTTCAATTGGGCCACCATCGTTGGGGACCATGAGAGTTGTCTTTGCCACTATGGATTCATTTCCCTGTAGGAGAAACAGGCAGCTAGTGACAGCAATACTGACAGGACATGGGATATTCTAGTTTGTTGGCCCCAGAAGCAGGTATGCGACGTGACATAACGCACACAAACCCAGCTGGAACCACCATACCTGGTCCACTGTGGAGCCCATCGATCGGGTTTTCTTCTGAGGACCTGGCGGGCCTTCAATGAACTGCCTGGAAGACCGCTGAAAAGATACCATCCCTTTTTAACCATGACATGGGTTAACTTGGTGTTCAGCATAACTAGAAGTACTGAACAATTGCCTGCACACACCACAGATGCATTCAGTTCTTCCACAGTAACTGGAAGAACTGGTAACTGTTCTTTATGGCAACCTTGAAGCTGCCATGAAGCATCAGGAGGCCTTGATATGCTGCTCTTCCAAATAACTTTCCTGGCCAGCTTTATAATCCAGTTCAGGAAAAAAAAATACTGACAGAAAGAAGGGGAGGAAAATCAAACAAAACACACCACCAAGAAACAGAGCAGCAACTGAGCAAGTCCCAGACTCTTCCCAGCTCTGCTGGTGAGGATTTCAGGCTGTCCTTTCCCACCTGTGCCTGCAGATATACTAACAGCAGACCAGAACGAGCACAAGCTCCTTCACGGAACAGAAGAATATTAACTTCCTACATGATCTTCCCCATATCTGGCAGCTGTTAAGAATCTTCAAGCGCTTTCTGGCAAACTCTAGGCCACAACAGAACTCCACTCCAGTCATTTTATAGACAAACAACAACATCAGAATTAACTTTCAATCTAAATCCACACAGCAGGTCAGTTATAGTCGAAGCACATCCATCTCAAGTTTCATTGTGATTAGTAGCTCAGACACCGTTATAGGTGGCTCGAGATGGCAGATGGTGACATTGTGTCAGCTAAGGCCAACAATGGGGTCTATTTGAAGGGGAAGACTTGAACATACCCGCTTCTCTCTCCTTTTCAGTCTGACAGCTTTCACCACGGAGGAATCCCAGTCCTGGGGGAAATACACAACACCGGTTCGCTCTGTGTAAATACCATACTGCCTCTGGCCAGGACTTTCATTATGTTTTAGCCACCACCACACCAGCCAAACGCAAGTCAGCTCCCCCAGTTTAACACCACAGTAATCTAGGCACAAGGGGTCTCTAGAGATTAACCCACACCCCTCAGGCTTTGCAGTGGGGGAACACTTTAGAACTTGGAGTTACATTACCAGTGACTCATCAGTCTTGTCAAAGCTGATGTCCGACAGAATTGAGCCAGATTCATCTATTGTAGACAGCCTAAAACCCCAAAAATCAGAAAAAACGTCTATCAGTTTGGCTTTCAGTCAGCCATGGTTCCAGATCAACCCAATTGACTCAGAAAAGCTGTATTTCTAACCGGAATAAAAAGTGAAACCCTGTTGGTATGGGTGCACGTGTCAGAGGTACACGGGTGGACTGATTTTTGCTCCAACAAAACACCGTTTTGCCTACCTTTTGGTGCCTGAACCCCCTACAGAAACCTGGGGCCTGTTCAGAAAGGCGAGGGCAGTCTTCTGTTCTTCGCTTAGCTGAATGCTCCCCGATGCATCACACATGAGCAGCTCTCGAATCAGTTGTATTTGCCGCTCCTGCAAAGGCAGATAACATCAGAAGCTGCCACAGGATGAACCGTGCTTGATTACCAGACAAACCAATCACCAGCATTCGCGATACCACACCGACAGGCTCTGTGTCAATAGGCTGCCACGGGCTGCAAAGCCCTGCTCTGACAGGCAAGGGCAGCTCGGCTCCAGGCAGCAGCCAGCCGCCCTTTTCCAGGCCAAAGCAGACGGCCGCTACGAGAAGCCAATTTGTTGTTGTTGGGTCTTTTTCCCTCCTCAGGGAAAAGAAGTTATCATGAGTGCCAGTCCTTGTTTTCCATAGATCAACGCAGTCTAATCACCTCATCTCCACCCTCTAAAGGGCTAACTGGTACGAAAGGAATTACTCACCAGCTTTTCACAGTCTGTTTCAGCTTTTTGCCTTCGTTTGATCTCCACATCCACTTGATTGCGAGCGTGTTTCAGCTTCACGTCCAAAGCGCTACGTTCAGCTTCAGTTTTCATGAGCAGCTCTTTGTACCTGCCAAGCTCATGCTCCGTTTTCTGCAATTTTCTCCGATACTCTTCAAAGCTCTTTGCTAACTGAATAAACTCTGTGGAGCAGACACATACATCTTCAGCTACCCATGCAAGCAGAGCAGATCCAGCAGCCCTCCTTCCGCTGATGGTAGGTATCTATTAACACAACCTGCTCTCGGCTGCAGAGCAGAGCAGCCAGCCCTTCGGCGAACCCGCCTACCCTACAGACATTCATGAGAAATCGGAGTTTTTCAGACCAAGTCCTTCACATCAGTGTCAACCAGAAGAGCCAGAACACGAGAGCCAGCGTGGATGAAGTCGACTGGCTGCAAGCAGAACGTGGCCCTGCCTAGAATTTCAACCCCGTGGCTTCATATTTCCCAACAATGAAAAAACCCTCAAATCTGGCGGCCTGCAGCAGGCTCGTTACCCACAGCATCATCAACAGGTTCTTCAGTACCAGCTAATCGTGTTTGTTTGCCTGTTTATATTCTTACAGCAAAACCAGCACAACCCGTTTCAGAAACAGAACTTACGGTATTCGTTTCCTTCACTTAAAACCTCCGCCTGGCGCACGAGCTGATCATACAGACTCCTTAAGTTCAGCATCGCAGTCTCCATCTTCCTGCCAAGAAACCAGAGCTAAATAAACAGCCCGGCCCTTTCTTCCCACCTCCAAATGGAAAATGCGTTACCAGCCCAAAGAGAAGAGAATCTGCTTCAGAATCACTGGTTTTGAGGGTTTTAAGACAAGTTTTAGGAGCCACACAAACAAAAATACATTAAGAGTTATGTTTTGTAGAGATATATGCATCTAAACCCTTCTGTCAGGAATGAAGATCCGCATCCCTCCACAGTTTAGAGGCATCGGAGCCACAGAGAGATGTGGAATAACTCCCCACCCTTGTGCTTCAAATATTGTCCAGTATACTACAGAGGCTCAGCACCCAAGGCAAAATCCCAAATCGTTCTCCTTCTGGGAGGCTGCAGAACACAGCTCATGCCCTGTCTACGAATAACCTGGTACTATGTAGGCCACCAAAAATCTGCAAGTTCTCCAAGCTTCGTGAGATAAAAATAGGAGCAACGTTCTGTGGAATTTTAATACAGTTTTAAATTTAGCTGCATTTTAAGTTACAGCTCCTCCTGCAAATAGCCGTTAAAATTCAGACAGTCAGCACATTTCCCTCAAACAGTAGCAACAACGGCACAAACAGAAGCAATGAAGAGGAAAGTCTCCAGCTCAGCAGCACAGAAATTTCAGCGCTAACGCAGGAGGTTGCTGGGGCACACGGGGCAGCCTCGGGTAATGAATCAGCAGGTGCGGAGAGTTGGGAGAGGTGCCAGGAGAGGTGCCAGGAGAGGAGGCAGCACCCCGGCCCAACGCACCCGGCTGGTCCCAGGCTCTACCAGCACATGGATACCCCGGGACTTTCCGTTTCGTGGACTGCAAGGTGTGGAAGAGCTCGCTGCTGAAGGGCCCTCCTCTGTTCCTCGTAGCCTGCTTAATCCGTGCCATTACTGCTACACTTTCGTGCCTTAATTA